AGTCAAGTCAAAGATATTCTCATATACTTTATCATTAGATAACTTCATTTTTGTGTGTATTAAATTTGTTGTTGTTTTTTTTCCCCTGATCCCCTCCCTCCCAGTCCCTATAATTCACCCCCTAATTTCCTCCCCTGATACTATCCCTTTTATCTACAGTTGCCCTTCATGCTATTATGTCTTCCAGTCTTTCAGTTTCTACTACAGAGCGCAGAAATTTGGTACATATTGATTGAGCAGAGACATACAATGCCTGTCTTTTACAGTCTGGCTTGCTTTGCTTAGCATTAAAAATATTAATAGCAATAATTAGCAATGTTTACAGAAATGACTATTCTAAGGAAAGACTGACCAATTTTATATTGATTTCTGTCTTTTACTTACTTGTGTATTTCTATTAAATTAATAGAAATTCTTCAGAGTATTATTAATTATAAATGGTTAATGGTTTAATAGATTTGATTTGCTTTGAAATCCTAACTGAATATATTCCCTATTCTTACCCTTTATTTCTCTAATAGTATGGCATAGTCATAGCAGTAATTTTCATACTTGCCTGTATATTAAAATTTTCTAGGGAGCTTCTAAAATACTGACATCGGGCCTCACCTCAGAACAGCTGAAACCAAATCCCTGGAAGTCTGATCCTGGGCACCTGTGGTTTACTTACATAATTATTTTCTAAAATGCCAGAGGGTACATTTACTCACAGAGAGAGACATGAAAACAGAGAATAAGAGAGAGCACCCTCCCCGTCCCCCCAAAAAATCAGGCAAGCTCACACTGCAGTTCCTTCTCTGACACTACTCCATACTATTGGGATAGCGGAAGTGCAGGCACTTGTGGCCAGTGTGTTTTTTCAGCCATAGAAGACAAGAGTCATACCTCAGTTGACCATGTGTAACCTGTTTTCCTTAACAACTAGACCATGGGGCCAGCCTAACAAGTTCCTTGGGTGATTCTCACGTAGAGAGAGAGCTTTACCTCCACAGCTCCATTGGATTAGGTCAGAATTCTCCTATAGCAAAATATTACCATGTGCCCCCAAGTCCTATATTCCGTTAAATGGCCAACCTATAGTGAGTGGAGGCTAAATAAGGGTTGGGAATTCAGAGTCCTAAGTTCAAATTCAGGCTCCAATAATTACTTAAAATATGATCTTAATCTTGTGTATAAAAGAAGCAAAATAATGAGTAACTTTTTTTGGAGGTTTGTGGGGAAGAATAAACTAGACAACAATGCTTGGTGTCTTTGATATGAGTCAAAATTACTACTCTACTACATGGTACCTGCCTGATTGGTTGACATAACCTCTGGGCAGCAGGGCAAACACAGCAGTAAAGGAAGGATAAACTCTGTGGCTGAAGAAAATATTATCACTTAATCATTGAAATAGGGAAGTACCCTCTTCATCAGAAGAAACAGAGGATTGGTTGCCGAGGTTGCAGGGAATTTCCAGTGACTTGGAAGATTGTCACAAATGGGAATCATAATGACTGAGAGGGTGAATATATATAAACATCCATCTCCTCAATCTAAATCTCCTTTCCTTCTAAAGGAAACAGAAGGGAGAGAGCTTTAAGAAGGATCACTATACTTCTGTTAGGGAGAAGACCAAGAGTAATTATATATTCATAATCGTTATTAGAACCCTCTGGTACTGCCCTGCTGTGTGTTCCATATTGGGTTACCATGTTGAACCCCTTGAAGAAGATTGCCAGTCAGTGGTATTCCAGAAAAGTTTCTTCCCTCCCATCTCTCATCTCCTAATCTCTCCATTCATTATCTTGCTTCTATCTTTCAGTTTTAGGTATCTCCATCTCTTTTATATTATTATTATTTGGAGAGTTTTTTGCTATAGGGCACATACATGTGCCAGAAAGACACAGAGAAACAGAAAGCGAGAAATCACTCCCCACTGGGGATGGCTAAGCTCCAATCCCTTCTCCTCTATTCTCCTCTCAGGATCTTGGGCACACATGCACACACTCCCGGTGTGAGTTTAAGTCACTGGGTCTGGGACTAGAACCATGGTCAACTACATGGGAGTCCAGCAACATAGCCATTATGCTATCTCCTGATCCCAGTATCCCCATCACTTAAAGGCTTCTTTGTGTTCCTTTATTTACAAATTAGAATAGCATAATTTCCCTGTAGTTGTTTGTTCATGCATTTTCCTTGATTGGCTTTTACTCTGCTAGTAACAATGCACTACAAATGGAGTGCCTTAAAGAATAGAAATATAACAACTTGGAGATTCCTCAAAAATCTACAAATAGAACTACTATATGATCCAGCAATTCCACTCCTCGGTATCTACCCAAAGGACAGAAGAATTCTTCATTGGAAAAGTGCTTGCACATCAATGTTTTTTGCGACACTATTCACAATTGCTAAGACATAGGACCAACCCAAATGCCCCCATATGAATGAATGGATTGAAAAACTGTGGCACATATACTCTATGGAATACTATTCAGCCATAAAACCCAAAAGCCCTGACTTTTTACAGAAAATGGAAGAATATGACTTACTGCTTAGTGAAGCAAGCCAGGCTATGAAGGAGAGACATTGTATGTCCCCATTTAATATATACCGAGTGTTTGCACTCTATGACTGAAACTGATTGACTAAAGGATGTACAAATACAAGAGATGGGTGTGAATGCCAGATGTGGGGTGTGTGGAGGAGTGGGGCCTGAGGAAGGACATTTGGAGGAGGGATACAGAGGCAGAGAATTGATGGGATGGGAAGATGTGATGTTATCTGTTGAAGATCTTGATCAACTGAACTGGAGAGAAATGTTCATATATTGAAATGTTCATGCTGTAAGCTAAAGAATGTGATTGAATGTATAAAAATAAAATAAAAGAAATAATAATAAAAGAAGAAAAAAGAACAGAAATATATTTTCTCACAATACTGGAAGCTCAAAGTCTGAGATCAAGGTGTCAGTAGATTTGGTTCCTTCTTAGGGATGTAAGAGTGAATTTATTCTATGCAATTTTTTGACTAGTAGAAGGCCTTCTTCCCTTTATGAATGTCCATGTCCAAATTTCCTCTTCTTACAATAATATTAGGGCCTATTCTAATGACCTCCTTTTATCTCAGTTCCCTCTTTAAAGAACCTATCCGCAAATATAACCACAGTTTGAAGTAGTGGGTTTAGGATTTGAACATACAAGACACACAATTTGGCCCATAACATTGAACAAAGGACAGATGGGTGAGTGCATGTTTGAGAGCAGAGCAAGAAAGAATAAATAAATGAATCTAGACAAACTATTTTCATGTCACTGGCAAAAACAGAATATTTTTGAATTTTTAAATGCCAACAAAGCCTCTTAAACTAAAATGAAGATAAACAACAAGGACAACAAAAGACTTGTAAATTAAAACTTGTTTCAGAAGAAATCCACTTACTTTTTTTTTTTCTGTTTTTTTTTTATATTTTTTATTATCATCATAATCTTCTTTATATTACATTGGATTACATATAATTTACAGTGTATTACATTGCCTTTTCAAAAGGGAATGCCATGCATGTCAGTCAATACAGAGACATTAATCTCCCCGCTTCAACATTCAATATCTTTTCTACGTTTTCCCCAATCATTATTTTTATTCTAATTATTTATTTAAAACAGTCAATCGCTATTTCTCATTTTGCTTGTAAAAAGACTTTGCCCATCATGAAATACTTCTCAGACCAATCCAGCTGAGAATACTATCACATGTCATCATCAACAGTTAATAAGCCATATCTGTTTTTCACTAACATCTTGCCTCTCTATTATTCTCTTGCTATCTTTCTCTATCCTCTTCTCTTCACCTTCCCCATTCCACACTGCCCTATTCTCATTAAGTACTTACTTTTGTGCTTTGAACTTCAGGAAATACTTTTAGGAGGTGCACATATTCAAAAAACACTAAATTTGACACATAGATTTTAAAATTCTTTTCTCAGAATAGTTAAACAAGATTAGAGAACAACAACAAAATTAGTGCACCTTGTTTTCCTTTTTGCATAAATAATTTTTGACTACATATGTTTTAGGACAAGATAATGCCTTTGCCCTCTGTAATCTCATACAGTCCCTTCCTAATCTCTTTTACCACAGATAATTTCATACGCACACTAGTTATAGAAAAGAAAAAAAATTCACAGTGTGAACACTGTAGTTCCTATGAGAATTCTGTTTTGGATGCTGGACTGTAGGTAGAATTCATCCAGAACTGGCAAATCTGAGAATAGGCTAAATTAACATAAACCTTCATTCATTTGAGAAATATCATGAGAGCCCAAATGAGCAATGATTACTAGCCAGATCAAGAATGGACATTCCAAGCTATCTCCTTTTTCTCTTTTCTTTTTCTTTTTCTTTTTTCTTTTTCTTTTTCTTCTTTTTCTCTTTTGAGAGTTCTTTTTCTATAGAACAGAGAGATCAGAGAGATGAAGAGAGAAACAGAAAGCAAGAAATCATCCCCTGGGGAGATGACCATGTGACCATACACAATCTCTTCTCCTTCATTCTCCTCTTGGGATTTTGGACACACACAGACAGGCACACCCAGTGTGTTTCACGCCTCCAGGTCCAGAACATGAACCACAGTCAGCTCCCTAACCACTGTACAATCTGTTGGCCCTTCTTATTAATTGTCAAAGTACCTGAGAAAATCAGAGGATCGTTCTCATATGTTAACAAAGACATGGAATCTGGTCACTGATCATTCTCCTACCTGTGGAGGGCAAGTTCACATACATAAAAATAATCATGACATAAAAGATACTTTTTTTTTTAAGAACCATAGCTGCCATTGGAGACAATGACTTTATATAGTGTGGCCTGTTTTGATTTCAATAAAATATTATATCTGAATCACTGGGACAGTATGCACACAGTAAATAGGAAAGATTACAGTGTTTCATGAAGAAGAAAAAAAATGAAAAAAGTCATGAAATTTCTAAAAAAGATCTCCAACTGTATTTAAGTACTTACCTGAATGGATGTGTGAAGTTTTAGCAATGTCTTATTTAGCAAGTGCATAATTTCTATACACAAAGAAAAGTGAATTAAACTATTATCTATACAGTTTATGAACTTGTTGCATAATTTTATTTTTATCTTATTTCCTCTTTTTTTCTATATGATTATACTACTCAACTGTGAAATTTATAGCCATGTCATCTATATTAAAGTTTTTAGTAAAAATAAAACTAGGTCCTGGTATCATCAAAGCTGACTTTTACTAGAGATCCATCAAAATGATCTTTTAAATGTTAGCCATAATCATTTCAAACTAAATTAAATCCTAATTTTAGTTTTCATTTTCGCTATAAGCATAGCTCTGGATATAGGTAAGTGGTAACTGATCAGTAGCACTAATATCAGAAGTTATTATGAGTAAAGAATATGTTTCAAAATTATGATGACAATGTCTCCAAATTGGATATAAATCATCCCAAGTATCTGAGTTTAAGATAGATTTAGCAAGCCCTCATAGAGGAGGGTAAAGGAAACCAAATAAATTAACCAGTGTTTCTAAAATGTATTTAATTTTTTCCCCCATCCACGGTGGTGCAGATGACGGCATGGCCCATCATTGTGGAGTCAGTTGAAAGACCAGAGTTTGGATCTCATGTTTATCCGAAACCTGCCGGGTGTGCATATATTTTCCCATGATCCTGACTAGCTGGAAGGTTGGAGGACAGGGAGGCTCACTATTGTAATGAAACCCTGTTGAGGGTGCTTGTGTGTGTTTTGCTCTGTCTCACCCTTTCTCTCTCTCTCTCTCTCTCTCTCTCTCTCTCTCTCATGAAAAAATAAAGCAAATACACTCTTAAAAACCTAAGTTTGGGGACCAGCAGCTGGCACAGTAGCTATGTCACTGGGCTTCCATGTAGTCGACTATGGTTCGAGTCCTGAACCTGATGGCTTAAACTCATGTCGGGTGCGTGTGTGTGCATTCCCAAGATCCCGAGAAGAGAATGGAGGAGAACAGATCATGGCATGGCCATTCCCCATGGAAGGATGATTTCTTGCTTTCTGTCGCTCTGTCTTTCTCTGTCTTTCTAGCAAGCACATGCACCCTATAGCAAAATCCTCTCAAAAAAAAAAAAATACCTAAATTTGGAGTCAGTGGGTGGCAAGATGGTTAAGGCACTGGACTCCATGTGGCTGACTATCTGGTTGGAGTCCCAGACATGGCAGCTTGAAAATCACACCATGCAGTTTGGTATGCACCCAAAATCCCAAGAAGAAAATAGAGAAGCAATCTCTGTCTCTGTCTCTGCCTAGCAAGCACCCATGCCTTATGACAAAAGCTTAAACAAACAAACAAAAAACATAATTTAAAAATTATATTACATTTTCTAAAATTTTAGAACTCAATTTTTTTTGTTGTTTGTTTTAGACAGATTTTTGCTATAGGGCATTTGTGCTTGCTGGAGAGCCAGAGAGGCAGAAAGCGAGAAATCATCCTCCCCCACAAGCCAGGGTGGATGGCCACACCACAATCGCTTCTCCTCTATTCTCCTCCAAGGATCTTGGGCACACACACATGCACACATGCCTAGCATTTTTATTATTTTTTTTTCTTTTTTTTTTTTTTTTTTCTGTTTTTTTTTTTTTTTTTTTTTTCCTATAGGGCATGGTGCTCACTGGAGAAACAGAAAGACAGAGACATAGAGACAGAAAATGAGAAATCACTCCCCAGTGGGGATGACCACACCACAATCCCTTCTCCTCCAGTCTCCTATCAGGATTTTAGGCATAAATACACACACGCCCAGCATGAATTTTAAGCCACTGGGTCTGGGACTTGAACAGCGGTGGACCTTGTAGGAAGGAGTCCAGCCACTTAACTCTTATGCCACCTGCTTGTCTTGGAACTTAATTTTTTATATCTGTGACATATCATTGCACAGAAACTGCCCCATACACTCAAAAAGGTCTTTTGCTTTCCATTCGTCTGCCTTCAGCCATACAAGTGCAGTCATCTTGATACTCACACATACCTACTTCAACATGTCTCACTGCCTCCACACACTGCTGAGTATCTCACTGATTTTGAAATTAGAATGTTGTAAAGGTCATTCACAGCTGCTAAATCTTAATTCACATCACAGTCAATTGGAAAATACATCTCAGCAGCTTCCAATGTAAAAGAAAACCCTATAAGGGAATAGAGGCACATGTTGTAGTAAAGGAGGGTTTGATAAGGGAAGGTTTTTACTGTTCACTTGGGGAGAAAAATTCAAGAGGCATTTTGGAGACATGGGCATGAATAGCATGAGAGTGACTCCAGATGAGAGACTTTTCAACCAGGTAAAATTCTCACCTGACAATTTGAAAATTGAGATCTGAACAACTAAATAATCAAATAGATGTGCAAACCTCTCAGTGAACCCTAGCCAACTCTTAGATGCATTTTCAGCAAACCTGGGCTGAGTTTGGAGAAATTCAAAGCAATTTTATGGTTGCAGATGGAAACCAGGCCCAACTCAGCAGTTTAAATGAACCTGAAACTCTAGGGGCCATCTCAAGGGGTCTGAACCCAAGCAAACCAAAACAAAGTAATGATTCCCAGGGAACGTTGGAAGTCCCTGATGCATTATCTCGGTAGAAGCTGAGCACAGATTTGTTTTATATTTATCAAACGTGATAAGTGGCAAAATTAAGAATAGTTTACTAAATGGATTGTCTGAAAGGTCTGTATTACTCAGAGGCAAAATGAATGGCCTTTCAATCATTGCTCTCTTCACAAAAGCAAATGTGTAAGAAAATAACTGAGAGTTTTTAAATTACTACAACAATTACTGTAAGAGATTAACAATTAAATGTAGATTGTAATGGCTCTTTCCAAATGCCTCAAACTATTACTGGAATAGAGCTATAGGACTTGAGGGCAGAAGGTGTCTGTAACCATAATCTCAAGCATTAAGAGGAAAGGAACCAAACTATTCTGACCAGTCCTTAACATCTGGATTTGGCCTCATTGAAAGTTTTCTGGTTGACCACCAACTCGCACTTGGCAGAGGGTCAATGCCTTGCACGTTTGGTGTAGCTGGACATTATTTTGAGAACACCTGGGATCTATGATTTTTTTTAAAGGTGGTCTCGGCTTCTTTCTAAAACCTTTTATAATGAACAATGCCAGTAGTATACAAGAGAGGACTGTGTGTATATTTACTTATTTGTCTTTCCATCATCATATTTTTAGGGCATCAAGGAACTGTAATTTAGAAAATAATTTTTATAATTAGACCAGCTGTTAATTCCTCAAGAAAGTCAATCGTTTCTTTTATCTTGATTATTCTTGGCTTCCAAAGTTATTAAAGGTCAGAGAACTCTAACTTGCTTATGAATGGGTGAGAAGAGAGGTAATGACAAAGATGTAATGGAAACTAGATATTCTCATTGGATACCTATTTTCTAGAACATTTTGTGAAAATCAAATGACAGTAAAAGATCCATTTTCTACTTTATATTAGAACTTGCTAATTGTTATCTTTTCTCATATCCACCATAACCACTATTAACATCACCATTTTGGCTATAATTTGTCTTCTATCGGGGATCACTGCTATGAACACTGATGTTCTTAGCTGCCTTCTACAAAAATAAGATACAAAGAGAATAATTACTTTTTATGCTTCTAGCTCCCTTCTTCCTCTTCAGCCTCACTTCTAGAAGCATCATTTCCAACTCACTCCATGGGTGTTCATAAATAGTCTCCTGCTCTATCAAGTTTTCTATTCAAATTCTATAGAGAGTCTCTTATGTACATGAGCATTGACCTCCCTCTCCGTTTTAGAGAAAATAACTGCTTGCTTTTAAATACTCTAAAATATTAGATAAGCCATTCAATATAGTTATAACATGGTCTATATCTTACACCACAGATATTGAAACTTGTTGACTATTACAAACACTTGGAAATTAAGATCAAAACCAAACCAAATTCCTAACTCTTAGGCTCTAACTAGAACAATGAAATCAGAATCTCTGAGGCTAGGACACTGGCATTACTTTTTGAAACCCTTTATATATCCCCTCACTCTTGTGACTCTAGAATGTAGCAGTTAAAAAGCCCTGTGGCACATAAATCAACACACTTCTACCTGCCTTACAGATACCCACAGATATCCATTAATCTGGTATTGACACCTTCATTAAAAGACTGTTTTGTCACAGTATATTTTCCTGCAGTGGACTTCCTAGTAGGGAGAGAAGGCTGATATTTGACAGGCATCATACATTTTAACATCAAGTTCCTATAGGCAGCATTGTTTGACATTCTGATTCACTGTGAGACATTTCAAGTCACCATCCCTGCCATGAATAAACTGTGCCACTTTTTGGATTGCCGGTGGTCCATAAACTACGGTTTGTAAGCCATTGACCTAGGTGTTATAATTTTATGCAAATTAAATAGAATAGCGATTTTTTTCTCTCATCACTCAATTGCTGAAAGAATTATCAAAAAGTATACATTAAGCCTTTTTTAAAAAAATATGTTGCATTGTGCATGCATTCACCAGAGAGAGAGAAAAAGAGAGAAAGGGAAAGTGAAGAAGCACCCCCAGGGGGTGGTTGTTCCATAATCCCTTTCTCCTCCATTCTCCTCTTGGAATTTTGGGCATGCATAACATGTACATACACAGCGTGTTTTCCAAGTCACCAGGTCCAAGACTTGAACTACTCTGTCAGTCACTATAGGATCCAGTCTATTTAAACCAGCAACTGGCTGGCCCATTACAGTCAGCCTTTATTTATTGCTTACTGTATAGTCAAGGCACCCAGTGGCTAAACATGTAAAGAAAAAAAACATTATTTCTAACATTATGTTCTCAGAACAGAGGAAAACTTCAGAATGTTGATATGTCCATCTTGTTCAAGCTATGGTCTCTGGCTTAGAAATCAGAGAGGAATATATATTAGCAATGATTACTTTTAATCTTTCCCCTCATGATTAATTTTTAATATTCTAAAAAACATGTCATGTCTATAGAAACTGAGTAAAATCCTCCTTTTCAATATAAAATCTGATTTAG